GAGATATGGTCCAGCTATGTAGTTCAGGCTGGCCTTGAACTCACTATTTAACCCAGACTAGCCTTGAACTCTTGCCAACCCTCCTGCCTCAGCCTCCCAAGTGCTGGGAGTCCTGGGATTATAAGCCTGTGCCAGCACTTGCTTTAAATAATTAAAAGGAATGCAAATTCTCATCCTATCACTCTTAAAACTTTTTCTTATGTATGTGCATGTGAACATGCATGTGTGCTGAGATCTAAACCCACAGTCTTGAGAGAGGTTAGCAAGCCATCTAATACTCAGCTACATGCCAAGTCCCTAAACTTTTATTTCTTGAAAAGTCAATTCTCAAAACAAATACAAGCTACTCAAAAAGCAAGGTTGTGGACAGAGTGCTGATCTGATATAAAGACAGAATGTCTTTTCTGATAAAAAGAAAAACTGGGGCTGGGTGTGGTAGCACATGAGTGTAATCCCAGCACTCACTTGGGAGACTGAGGCAGGAGGATTGTTGGGAGTTAGAGCCAGCCTGGGCTACAAAGTGACCTCAAGGCCAGCCTGAACTGCACAGTGAGACCTTGTCTCAAAAAAGGCAAAAGAAAAAATTTGTTCAGGAGTTCAAGTCCAGCCTGGGTTACACAAGGAGACCCTGTCTCAAGCCCCTATTGTTGTTGCTCTAACTAATTACACAATTAACATGACACAATTTTTCACCAGTAGACCCCCAACACTGTGCCTGGCCAAAGGAGGTGGTCAAATATTTGAGGCTTTAAATTTGTTATAGAAACCACAGCTGGGCATGGTGACGCAGGCCTGTAATCCTAGCACTCTGGGAGGCTAAGGCAGAAAGACTGCAAGTTTGAGCCCAGGCTGGGCACCCTGGTGACTTAGATTCTGCCTCAAAATAAAAAATAAAGAGCTGTGATGTAGCTCAGCATGAAGGTTCTGGGTTGAATTTCCAGTATCAAATAGAAAAACTGTAAAGCAGCCACCAGCATTTTATAAGACTCACTCATGCTGTTAGTGAGTGGAAGATACTGCCCCTTTCTATCACTGTGGAAGCTTTTAAGAGGGAAGCTTACATTTTTACCATACTTTTGAATCCCTGCCTATGAATCAGTCTTAAAGTGGCATATCCTGTCTTGGTCTTGCGCTTCTCCCTCCCTCTGAAAATCTTGGAAAATTCTTGGTATTGTAAATTTCCAAATCTTACACGAATATAACAGATATGATGTGTGCCAGGTCCCCATTATTACCAGATCCACTTTTCTAGTTTAACCTTAATTTCCCTAAACATTTCTTGTACTCCAACAGGTGAAGTTTTCCTTTCTACCCTTGAAAATATACTCCGTGAGTCCCGTAATGCCGTTCTCTAAGCCTCCCCAGCCCCTACCTCTTTTGTATGTAAACACACACTTGTCACACACTCCATCAGCTGTTTAGTAGCTCCACCCCTCCTTCTTTTCCGGGTAGTAACAGAGCAGCCAATGAGCTGCAAGGAGCTGTGCCTGCGGCCTTTTGCCTGCTTACGCTTTTCCAAAACAAGCAGCTCTAGCCTTCAGCAGGGGCCACTGGTTCACAGATAAAAGGATCACCAGAGCTGTGCAACAGGGTGAGACTAGCAACCCCCACCAACAAGGGAACCCATGTAATCTGAGCTGTTTGTTCCTCCACTGGGGAGAACTTAAACCGATATTCCTTTAGGGCAAATCACGCTTTAAGGTCACTAGAGCCCCAGTTCTCAGACAATCTAAATAACCAGGGGGTTGGAGAAGAAAACCTCAAAGGTTGCCAGGCTGGGAGGGGCACAGTGTCACCATCTACCTGACTCTGCAAACAAATGGCCGCACTATACAAGACTATTCCACAGGATCTGAGTTGGTTTTTTTTTTTTTTTTTTTTTTATTGGGACACATTCCTACAGCACCCAAAAGTCATGTAAATCAGTTTCTAGGCTCCTGGGGAGGTTTGCACAACCCTCAGCAGAAGATTCAGAAGAGAAAGAATGAGTGAGTCAGAGTTTCAGAACATAATCACCCAGCAGATTATTAAGTGCATCGGTGCAAAACACTCACTCCCTGCATAACTTGGAAGTCAGCTCTCCTCCTACCAACCCATCACAAAAGAATTATCACAGACTCCAAACAACAACCAGATAGTGCTGAAAGGAACCTAGCAAGGTGGTGGAAGGCAGCGGCCAATTAGTTACACATCCTCTGCCCTCCCTACCCCCACACCGCTACTTTCCTACTATATAGGTTCCCTGCCAAGCTGTAAATCGTGGTGGTATAATTATGCTCAGGAGACAGCCAAAAATGGGCTGAAACAGGAGACTGCAATGAAACCAGCTATCAGCCTCCACACCACGGAAATCATCAGGGGCAACGAGGGACAAGAAGTACTGTACATTCCTTCAGACCTTTCTTTCTACTTCCTCTCCACCATCTTTCATTTTCAACCCTCGGCCCTTTCACACAATTGTACTCATTCTAGTAGTGGGCTGGGGAATTTTCTCTTAAATTTCTTATGAAATATACCTTACTCAAAATTTGTGGGCCCCACTTAGGCCTACTGATGTGAATTCCACAGAGAAAGGAGGCCACAAAAATCTCTCAACCTCACAACATAAAACACACACAAACACACACAAAAGGAAATCTGAAAATTTTTAACTTCTGAACTACATTTGACCAGGAAATAAAGAACATGAAACAAAGATAACCTCTGTCTTAAATCCTGAAACTCTTATCCTCCTATCTTAAGAGATCTACAATTTTAAAGCGTTTCTGCTTTCTTTTGTCAGCAAGGAGGAAGGTAGGAAAAGAACAGAAGGCCAGTGCATCTTTGCCTTTCTTCATCTTCTACTAAAAATAAGCTATGAAATAAGCCACTTGGGGGGAGGGAAAAAAAGACACCCTGCTGTTCTTTGTCTGTTTTCCTCTTTCTCTCCACCCCCCACACCACGACTCCTAAATGCGGTAATCATTCTAGATGCCACAACTACTAACTGAACAAAAGGCACTGTATGGAAAAGGCATCAGGTCAAGTTAGGCCTCACACTTCATCCTCGATCTTTTAGAAATCTATGTACGTACATAATTGGAAGATCTGACATCGATCAAAAACAGCTGGAATTCTCCCCCTCACTCCACGCCAATTACACATTAGGTAGAAATTTGCATTAGGTGTGACAGTAACTCTCAATTCAATATAAAAATAACTCAAGAGTCTACCATGTCATTTCCTAGTTTCTAAACAAAAAACCTGCAACTGCTTTGTGTAAAATGTAGAGTCATAGTTACAAGTTTTCCTGCAATCTTATGAAAAGCCAACCTTACTGCTATCTATCACACATTTACAAAACAATCACGGCCACAAACAGCTCGGAAAGAGTTGATTTCACTTGTGCCTAGACATACATTTGGTACATGATACTTTTATTACTTGCTCCCTTCTAATCCCTGCCACTACCCCCTAAAAATTTTAAACTCCAAACCCTAAACTTAGAAGTTTATCTACTAGCCCCAATTCCTAGCCAAGTATTCGCTGGGCAAGAAGAAAAACACCTTGTTATTCCTGAAAAGATTATGAAAAAAATAATCTCTCATCCAGGCAACTTTCCCCCACCCCCCACTTTCAAACCATATGCAAAAACTACTTTTTAAAAACTTCAGCGAATTCTGTATTTGATAATAATCGATCTCTACAAAGAGGTAAAACAATCTATCAAAAACAGTAACAAATAAAAGGAAAAAGAAATTCACCTGAAAAATCTAGCCAAACAACTTGAGTTATATAAACAAAATCCTGCAACAGGGGGAAATGGTGGGGGGATGGCGGTGAGGCCGAGAGAAACAGGAGACAGGACTTTTTAACTGCCTTTCACACACTACCGCCCCCCTAGTCCCTTCCCCCTCTCCCTAGGGATTAGCTATTCAGAACACTGGACTCTATACACACACACACACACACACACACACACACACTCTCACACACTCACTCACTCTCTCTCTCTAAATTAGCCCTCAAAAAAAATTCCTCGATTTGTCTCAGGAACCTTCACGAATTTCTCCAGCTGGTCATGAAATAAATAATCAGTCTGGACTCCAACCAAAACCACTGCCTGAAGGACTCTTTTATCAGTTATAGCTTTCCCACTGCAACCTCGAGTGTATAAAGTTGAGGGGGTGGCAGGAAATAAAAGGTGTCACTTGGCAAGATCAGGGCAAGCAGTCCCCCAGAAGCTTATCCTCAGAGGGTTCTGCTTAGGTGGACAGTACAGGGGAGCGGAGAGCTCCTCTTTCTCTCCCTCCTCCCAGCTGTCAGATCCACAATATGGAGGAGGGTGGCTTGCTAGAGGGCCTGGGGGTCCTCACCGCACCCAACTATGGGTGGGTTAGGCTTTGTCAATGAAAAAGAAGGTTCTTCTAGGAACCAGAAAGCTTAACAGGAATCTATGATTTGAAACACACAGAGCTCTTTATTAGCAGAGGGGCTCTGAGCAGACTGCTCTTTTCCTAATATAGAAAGGAATCAGGAATAAAGGAGGTCGCTTGAGTTACCCCAGTTCAAGAAGCATTGTGAGCGCAGGGAACCGGAGCGTGGCTCAGGAAAGGAAGAAAGGCTTCCCCATCAGGAATTTCTGCCCTGAGCCCCTAAATCAAGAGAGAGCAAACAGGAAAGAGAAACCCTGAAGACAGGCTCGGTGGTGAAGAATGAGGCGGGTAGTCTCGCCAAAAAAAGAAAGAAAAAGGCCGTCTTGGGAGTCCGAACGTCGAGGCGGCAGGCTCCAAGGGAGCGGCAAGAGCGAGGAGCAGCGCACATTTCGGGGTGCTGCATAAAAAGGGGAGCTGGGAAGGCCCTGGCCCCTGGGAGGTGCCCTGGAGCCGCCGTCGCCAGGGGGAGGGAGCTCGGACAGTGGCCCTGAGCGCCCCGGGGCCCTTGCTCGGGTGCCGGGGGGTGCCCTGGGCCCCCCAGGCCGATCCCACACACAGCCCGACTGCCTCCTCCACGAAGGATACAGCTTGACCACGTCCGTGTCCATCCGCCTCTTGCCCGGGCTGGGGGATGACATGGTGTCGCCGCCGCCTCCCCGTCGCCTGCGCCGCCGCCGCCTCGCTCCCTTTCTCGGCCCGTCGGTCACGGGCCCGGCCGCGCCGGCTCCTCGGCGGAGGTGGCAACACGCCCGCGGTCCCGTCGGGTCCCGTCAGCCGCCGCCGCCGCCTCCCGCACGGGGAAACACCGGGCACCGTCCGGCTGGGTGGGGGTGGGGACCCCCGGCGCCCAGCTCAGCCCTCTCGGACTGTGGGTCTGCCGCTGCCCGGCCTGGCGTTCCTCGGAGCTGCGCAACGCTCCCTGCTGCCTGCGCTGCTCTTTCTCGCTCGCCTGCTCGCCTGCTCACCCTCTCGCCGGCTCCCAGCCGCCTCCACCACAAGCGGACGACTCTTGCTCAGTCGGCCTCTCTACCCCAGCCTCGCTCTGGGCGCCGTGACGTCACCTTTGTGACGTCATCACACGGGCGGGCCTGGTCGGCCCAAGGGGTGGGGCGCCGCCGCGGCGTGTGCTCTAGCAGGGCATTCTGGGAGGTGTAGTTCTTCTTGTGCCCTCTCACCTCTGCCTCCTCCCCCAAGCTCCCCAACACTTCATCGCTCAACTACCAGTGTCGTTACCATGGTCATAAGCAATGGTAGTAAATAATGGCAACATTGTCACCTTCATATGTTTTATGGACCTCTTCATATCCAGTTAAAAAGGCTGGATTTGAAGGAAGAAGGAAGCCAATGTAGCATTTACTCAGATGCCAAAATCTGGAAACTAGCCGGGCATGGTGGTGCACGCCTGTAATCTCAGCACTCGGGAGGCTGAGGCAGGAAGATCGTTGCGAGTTCGAGACCAGCCTGGGCTACAAAGTGAGCTCAAGGCCAGCCTGAACTGCATAGCGAGACTCTGTCTCAAAAAGACCAAAAAAAAAAAAAAAAAAATCTGGAAACTCCCATACCAGCAGGTTCCCTGCACTCTGGTCCCTCCTCAGATGGAGAGAATTTATTTTCAGATATTGCTGCAGCGTGGTTTCCTTAGACCTTGTATACCCAGTTCATTACTCTCTATACTTACAGGGCCACTATTTCAAGGACTAGAGTTGATTAAATTTATAAACTTCCCACATGAGTCTGTAGTGTCAGCATCTTCTGACCTACTAAGACCTACTAAGAATCTGCAGTTGAACAAGGTCCTCAGGTGACATCTATGCTCAATGAAGTTTGAAGAAGTGACACTGAATCCAAAACCAACCAGCCAGAGGGGGAAGGAAAAATATCTCCTATATTATATGAGATCCTCACTACTATCTATTTTCCAAAGTTATTTCTCTCTTTTTTTTTTTTTTCTGTCTTTTTGAGACAGGATCTTGATATGCAGCTCAGGCAGGCCTTAAACTCACTTTATAGCCCAGGCTGGTCTCGAACTTGGAACGATCCTCCTGCCTCAGCCTCCCAAGTGCTGGGATTACAGGTGTGCGCCACCACGCCCAGCCTTTCCAAAGTTATTTCTATTCCTTTGTTCCCATGAATAGGCTTGTACTGTACTTTGTCAAGCCAGGTGCTATGAGTTAGTGCCTCTCTGGACCCTACTCCCACACCTGCCCACACGCCACGTACACCTGTGGCAGAAGCAATTGGCTAAAACATCATTTGCTCCTATCATTCTATGCCTTAAAAGACAACTTATTTTTAAAACTGTAGGGGCTGGGGATTTAGCTCAGCAGCACAGCACCTGTCTGGCAAGCACAAGGTTGTGAGTTCGACTCCTGGTACTGGGGAAAAAAACAATAAATAAAATAAAATTGTAACATATACATAATAAAAAATGTACCACTTTAACCATACTTAAGTACACAGTGCAATTGCATTAAATATATTTAATGCTATGCAATCATTACTACTATTTCCAGATTTTCATCAATCCAAGCAGAAATCTGCCCATTAAACAGTAACTCCTCATTCCCATTCCCACCTTTCAGGCCTTGGTAACCTCTATTCTGTGTTCTGAAAAAGACGGTCTGTTTCAACTGCTTCTAAAAGCAGCTCTTTCCTATTTCACATAGCAAACCTGTCAGAAGTAGGACAGGTCTGAATGAAAAGACTTTTCACCCGCTTTACTTGACCATTTTGTTAAAGGGAGATAAAGATGGAGCAGATATTTTTCATGTTCTCGTGTCTCCTCTAGGCTCCCTGGGCTTCTATTGTTACCTCATCTCCCAGAATGGCTCCCCACCCTCCCTCATCTGATGAACTCCCACTCCCAGGCAAAGGCAGTGGTTCTCATACCCAGGTGTACTTCAGAATCACCTGGGGAGCTTGTTAAGCTACAATGGCCAGGCACCTCCCCAGGGAGTTCAGATTCAGAAAGCCTTCAGCCTGGACATCCCTGTATTTAACAATCTCTCCAGACAGATGGTTCTGTTGCAGACCAAACTTTGAGAACTACTTCATTTAAGATTCCACTAGGCCTCAGGCTTTCAGAACATCTGCCTGAGCTCCCCAGGTGAGTTCCATGCAGCAGAACTTCCTGTGCCAATAAGGCAGGGCCCACCGGCCCTCCGGCCCTGCCACACACAAACATCTGAGAGGAACGGCAACCAATAGAGAGGGCCCAAGGTGGTGTCTCTAGAATCACAGGACAGACAGAAAGAAGGGGTCAAGACAGGGACATATACTTCGGGAAGAAGGGCATGGAGTGGGGCCTAGAAACTCCCCCTGCTGCTTCACTCTATAACCAGAGGACCCAGCTCCTCAGGAGACTAAAGTAGGAAGATTACAAGTTTGAGGCCAACTTGGGCAATTTAGGCAGGCAGACTCTGTCTCAACAAAATAGTGAAAGCTAGGCATGGGGACACAAGTATGTAATCCAGCACTCTGGAAGGCTGAGGCAGGAGGATGATAAATTCAAAGCCAAGCTGGGCGTGGTGGCGCACACCTGTAATCCCAGGACTCAGGAGGCTGAGACAGGAGGATTGTTGGGAGTTCAAGGCCAGCCTGGGCTACAAAGTGAGTTCAAGGCCAACCTGAGCTACATAGCGGGACCCTGTCTCAAAAAGACAAACAAACAGACAAAAAACCAAAAAACATAGCCAAGCCAGGCATGATGACACACGCCTGTAAACCTAGGACTCAGGAGGCTGAGGCAGGATTGTTGTGAGTTCAAGACCAGCCTGGGCTATAAGGTGAATTCAACACCTGCCTGAACTGCATAGTGAGACCCTGTCTCAAAAAAGACCAAAAAATTTTTAAAAAATAAAATAAAGGAGCCGGGCGTGGTGGAGCACACCTGTAATCCCAGCACTCAGAGGAGACTGAGGCAGGAGAATCATTGTGAGTTCGAGACCAGCCTGGGCTACAAAGTGAGCTCAAGGCCAGCCTGAACTGCATAGCAAGACCCTGTCTCAAAAAGACAAAAAAATAAAA